TCAACTCTAAAGGACTCTTTGAAAGAGTTTAAAAAATTTCATTATCAATATTTGCATCAAATTGTTACTTCCTATATATCACACGTTTCTTACGAAATTCGGGTTCGATATTTATTTCAAGTGCAATTTCCTTAGTAGAAGTCATAGTAATTGCAAATCCTTCTTCTCTATATTTGTTAGAAAGAAATCAAACTTTTTTATTTTACAGAGCTCTTTTTTAAACTTATACATAATCTATTATAGTATAACAAAAAATAGGCCCCCCACATATATGGGGCTAATGTTAGGCTATAATTGCGTATTTTAGTCGATTATTACACTCTAATTTACAGCACTTTAGTTGAGTTTGCGCTTTAATCGCTAGTGTTTTGCACTAACGATGAGTTTTATGCCTTGTAGGAGTGATTCCGAGCTATATAGATATTATAGAATAAATTCAAGTGATTTGGAGGTTTTAAGTCTGAGTAAAAGCCCAAGGAATTAAGCCGGGATCGTATTCAGGGATCAACAGATGATAAAGCAACAAAATGAAGACTCGAGTAGGCATATTGCATACTATTTAGTAAAATACACATAACTTTTTTCTCAGAACAACATTTGGGCTCCACAATATATGGTTGGAAAGCTAACTCAAAGGACTACAACTTTCATGTTTTACGTTTTTTCAAATTCTAAACAAAACAGGGTGAAAAGTGCAGTCGAAACCGCGACCGCAGAGCTGAGGCGGGCTGAGGCAGTATACCTGCCATATACCGCGGTTGACCGCGGCCGCGGCAGTCCAGACGTGAAATATTGTCTTTTTTCGCGTAGGAGAAGGGATAATTGTTTGGGCCCGACCCTACTTGGTATATATACATGGAAAAGCGGTATTTTTAAAGGTGGGACACACTTTTGACATAAAAAATAGACCTAAGGAGGCTAAGGAGACTGAGGATTCGACCTAAGGAGTCAAGAACACAATAAGAGCAAGGCGGGGAATTCTTCAATGAGTTTTTCCTTCCTCTTCCTATTTTTCATTGTTGGTTATGATTTTTAGTATTGTAGTTTTACATACTATTATGAATAGCTAAATTGTTATCTAGGGTTTTGATAGAACCTTTTGTAGGATAAATTTTTGTTATGTTTTTATATATTGAGCCGTTGGATTTCTCTACTTGTTCAACTACGTGTTTATTATTGTTGATTGAATGGTCATCGATTGACAATGCCTATTTATTATGTGTTGCTTGAGAAAAGATACATATTTAGGTGATTGTTGAACAACGTCACTCCTAACGTATATGAGAAATCAATACAGCGGGTTTAAAGGTAGGTTTAGAAATAACAAAGCCTTGACGTGGTCACAATGAGCGGTTAGATAAAGCCAACTAGCATAGTTCGAGAGAATATGTCTAGTAAATTGTTGTAGTTGCTCGAGAGAGAATTACGGCACCTAAAGTGCTCACGATCAATAGATAATACATTGGTGAAATTGTAGGGAATATAGCTAGAAGGATTCCGATAATTGGGGAAATCATAACTCTAGACCTCTTTAATTTAGTCTCCAACCCTTTGTCTCGTTAGTTGATAATTTACCGTTTTCTAGTATTTGCTAGTTAATTAGTTAGAAATATAAATCTCAATCTTTATAATTTAGAAAATTGTTCAAACTTATCTTTTTAGTGATATTAAACAGATATAGCTAAGCCTTAATTCTCTGTGGGATTCGACTCCGGACTTTTAGACCGGATTATATTTACAGCGACCGCTTATCCTTTTTAGGACTAGAGTTGGGCGTGATCAGGGACCTAAAATAATTGCTTTACTTACTTTATGGAAGGGCCGCCCCTGGCCACTGAACATCCCACTGTCTGCATTCAAGAAATATTAGACACTTAGAAAAACTAGTAAGCTAAGAAATGCATTTGAAGTAATAAGAGTTGAAGTTTCATACGCTGACAGAGTAAAAGATTTTCACTCAATTTGGCTACTTAAAAAGTAATCACACCTAAATCTATGTGATAAACAAAGGCTGGCCTATGCGACCCCGTTAACTTCGCAGAAATTTTGAATGTATAAGTGTATATATGTTGTAAGACAGTCATATATTTTGCTTGGAACCCTTAAGATCAAAAGTCTGATGGGATCACTGATTGCGCAGTTCGCTCATGTGCCCTCGCCACCTTCGCATCCTTTCCACTTCCTCAAAACTTGATAGGTACTGAAAAGCCTATATTTACTATTACCATTTCTAAAATCTTTGCTGATGCAAAACTGCATCAACTGTACAATGTGACATTCAACATATAAACATACATACTCAATCTTCAATAGAAAATTTTCTCAATTAGGTTGAACCTAACATTCAAATGGCTTGAGAGTTTTATGACAGAAAAAAGGGCAAAATATACAATTGAAGACAGATTATTCACTCATCAGAAAAAAAAAAAAAAACATCTAACAACTAGTGTAATAAAAGGAAACTGTCACATATGAGAAAAGAGAGTTAGATTAAGCAAGGAGGTGGTGTTGAATGAGCAACTATTGTAATTGATTAATAAATGTAGGTTAATTGACTGAACGTGTTAAACTTATCTCATTTAATATAATTTTCTTTTTTTGTTGTCTGATTTATCATCAGTCATATTTGTTTTGTTATTTTCATCATGACATCTGAATATTCAGTGTGGGGAAGTAGGTTTTGCGGATTACATATTAGGTTCTGCCTTTTTTTCATTGTCAAGTTTTCGCTTTTCCTTATCAGTTTTAGCTGAGTAGTATTGTTTTATTATGTGCATACATTTCAAATATTCTTTTTTTTGTATATGTATATATAATCCGAGCCGAAATCAATTGGTTCGCCTGCCACTAAGCATAAATCATAAGATTATCTATCATAAACATTAACACAACTAAGCAAAAGGCGATAGTTAACAAAAGAGATAAGCGCAAAGCAAACCAAAACGATAATCTGATAGCGATGATTCAACATGATACCTTTATTATAAACACAAAAGAGAGTAAAATGAAAATATGATCATAGCAATTTACAACTGAATTATAACAAATTAATCAGCAGAACTGTCATATTTGAATATAGTTCTCTCAACTTCCAAAAAACCATTGGTTATTCGTAACTAACCATTGAGAAGGGAAGATCAATGAGAAATGTATATCTTAACCGCTCTAAAAAATATTAATTAGCCGATAAAATGTATTTCTATTTTTTGTATATAAATATAATATACATATTTTTATGCACTTTTTAACTAGCGAATGCAATTAATTTCGGCCGACTAACCAAACTTTAGTTTTTGCCCAAGATCAGTAATTTTTTCCTATATGCGGCTCGTTTTTGCTTTTTGAGGCGTTGCCTGTGATTCAACATACAAGAATTAAGGGCCCGTTTGGCCATAAAAAAAGATTTCTTTTTTCCAAAAAAACCTTTTGTTTTTTAAAATCAGTGTTTGACCATGAAATATTCGATTTTCATTTGAAGATGAATTTCGAAATTTTTCGAAAATTTGAAAAACTCCAAAAAGCTATTTTTCAAAATTTCACTTTAGATCACTCACGAAAATTTAAAAACAGTCTAAAATTATATTCATGTCCAAACTCAACTCTACTTTACAAATACTATTTTCATTTGAATTTGTTTTTTACTTTTTCCGGAAATTTTCCAATTCTTATGTCCAAACGCCCACTAAAGGAAAACTGCACATTTTCGTGTTTAGCCCCGCAAATAGACTTAATTTAGAAAACCTTTGACACTTCGACCCTGACAAAATTTTAGTGTACGATTGAAGTTGTGCTAAAATGCCAATGCCTGTTTATCTTTGTTGTCAATGGAGAGATCAACTAAGTCCAAAAGAAGACCTCTTTAGAAAAAGTATGCCGAGATTGGTGAAGTTAATTGATAGGAAGTCAATGTGGTCCTTAGCCTTGCGCATTAGCCGGCACGGCATGAAGAAAGTGTGGAATGTTCACCAAAGAAATTTTTTTTAAAAAATAATAATAAGAAAGAAGTTAATAGAATTCAACGTCTAATCTATATATATACATGAAAAGAAATTTGACCTTATATATATAATGTAATTATTGAGTGAAAGGTGTTCGACTAACCCTTTTCGCCCACCTAACTCCGCCCATGAAAGGGGCCCGGTTGCTTTCAAGACTCAGAATTTAGCCGGGAAAAATGATTATCCAAAGTTTTTATTAAATTGTACTCTCTGCGTTCACTTTTACTTGTTCACTGCATTAAAAATATTTTTTTACTTTTATTTGTTCATTTTAACAAATCAAGAGAAAGACGATATTTTTTTCCTCCTTAGTTTACCCTTATCATTAACTATTCATTCCCCAAATTATTTCTCAAGACTTTTTGAAATATTTTTGTTATTATGGGTAAATTTATAAGAGGGGTTGCTCTGATGGTAAACAACCTCCACTTCCAACCAAGAGGTTGTGAATTCGAGTCTCCCCAAGAGCAAGGTAGGAAGTTTTTGGAGGGAAGGATGCCGAGGGTCTATTTGAAAATAGCCTCTCTATCCCAGGGTAGGGGTAAGGTATGCGTACACACTACCCTCCCCAGACCCCACTAAGTGAGATTATATTGGGTTGTTGTTGTTGTTGTTATAAAATATATGAGTAGTTCATTTACTTTTTTTTTATTTTATAAATGAGTGCAAAACCAAAAAAGGACAAGTAAAAATGAACTAGGGAGTATTAGCTTAACATAGTTAAATAAAAATAAGGAAATAATATGTATTAATTAATTATGATTAACTTACAACAATTTATATATAAACATATCTCATATACTTATTGAGTCAACATAAGTCATCCTCCGATTCACAGTGTACCTTTTGGCATCTTCCTTCTCTTTTCTCACTCATTTCCCACGCGCACACTCTCTCTCTCTCTCTCTGTCTCTCTCTCACACGCACACACCCAACAAGACCACCACTATTTGTGTCTGTATAATTCTTGATTCCTAGTCAAACTATAGATAAAACAGCCACATAATTTCAGCTACTAGTATTATTATTATTTGCAAGACTTCTAAAGAGTCTTTCAGTTGACTCACCTAGCTGAAATGTCCCAAACCTCCCCAAATTTCCAAATATTTTCATAAAATCACTAAACTTTAACTACAATACAAAAAACCCCAGTTGCCTGAAACCAATTTCCACTGTGATCCTTCAAGATTTTGATAAAAAAGTGAACTTTATGCAGAATACCAAAACCCCAGTTGCCTATCAGCAATTTCAGTTGTGATCTTTCATGATTTCCATAAAAGAGTGAGCTTTAGCAAGAATACAGAAACCCCCAGTTGCCAAGAAGCAATTTTTACTGTGGTTTTTCAAGATTTAGCTATGAAGAAAGGATCTTTAGCTCCTAATCTTAAACTTTCTCTCCCTCCTCCTGATGAAGTTAATCTCTCCAAATTCCTGTAATTACTTTACCTCCCTCTCTCCATATGAGTGTTTTTTTTTGTGTGTGTGTGTGACACATCAAATGTTTCCAAAATAGATATTTATGCTAATTTCATATCCACTGTCAAAAAAGAATAGTTGTGGTATTTTGTGCCTACTGAGCTAAAATCTTGAATCTATTTCTTATAACTCTTATATCTTTGTGTCAATTTTGCTATGTTTATGTATTCTGATGAGAAGTTTTTGGTGTTGTTGTGTAGGACTGAATCAGGGACGTTTAAGGATGGAGATCTTCTGGTGAATAGAGATGGAGTTCGAATTGTCTCTCAAAGTGAAGTTGAAGCTGTACACTTTCTTAATGTTTTACTGTGTCTTACTGATTGTTCTTTTTTGCTCTTGTAGAAATTTTATCATTCAGTATTGTGGTATGTTGGTTAGTACGTTGATTGCTTGCTTAGTCTAAATTGGGTTAAAAGCATATGATTTTGTCAACTTGCATTTGGAATTTTGAAAATTTGAAGTGAAATGTTTAGCTAACAAATCTAAATGCACATTGAAGTGAATTTAAGCATTTGAATTTAAAGCTGTGATTAGGAACTAATCTTAGATGAAGGGTCCAAAATAGAATTTAAGCATTTGAATCTAGACCTGGACAATTTTCTTTTATATAAGCGACACCAATTAGTTGGAATTATATTTAGTTATGTTAGTATGTATCCTTCAGGTTCAATGTGAGCTAAGAATCTTTCACTCTTGTTAGAGATTTATATGCTAGTAGAAAATGTGGAGAACTTCAAGTGCCGGAGAAACTAAGTTTTCTATAATTTCAGACTCAGACGGGGTTAAATAGAGGGACATGGATAATGGTGATTCATATAGCAGAGTCAAACTTTTGGAATGAGATGTAGTGGTTATTATCCAGACTTGGGCATTTTGTTTTCTGCATCTTCTTTGTATGCACTTATGCAATCTATTGCAACTAACATGGCATATTTTATATTGGTGTTTGCAATTTTTTCTTCAGCCATCAGTTATACAGCCATCAGACAACCAGTTATGCTTAGCAGATTTTGAAGCAGTTAAAGTTATTGGGAAGGGAAATGGTGGTATTGTGCGGCTGGTTCAACATAAATGGACAGGGCAATTTTTCGCTCTCAAGGTATATCTAGCTACCATCTCTATTCTGCTTATCATGGTTGTTGGTGATTCCTTTGATTAGCAGGAGATTGTCTACATATCATTTTGACATGTTTCAAGAATTTGTCGTGATATTCCTTTAAAAAATAAGAAGAAGAGGTCCTAATCTGAAAAAGAAATGAGAGAAGAAGATTTTGAGGATTGCGTCGCGAATGAGTAAAGAGCGCAAATGCTTCCACAGACATTTCGTCGCTATTGATTCATTTCTTGCCTTATAACTTCTGTTGTTGGTAGCAATATACACATTGATTTTGTGGGTTTTGTTCACTTAAATATTTTGAAAATATGTCACCTCTTTTTACCTGCAATCTCCACCAATCTACTGGCTACACCATTTTTTCATCTTACTGACTACCTTAAGAAATTTGTCCTCTAAATGAATAAATACATTAATTGGTTCTAGTGTCCGATTTTTCATGTGCGTATCTCACTGCCTCCTTACTTTACCATCTATGCTTTCTTATTTCCCTTTGTGACCAGCAGTTTTATTTTTATTCAGGTTATTCAGATGAATATTGAAGAGTCCATGCGCAAGCATATTGCTCAAGAACTGAGAATTAATCAGTCATCTCAGTGTCCATATGTTGTCATAAGCTATCAGTCATTCTTTGACAATGGTGCTATCTCCATAATTTTGGAGTACATGGATGGTGGCTCCTTAGCAGATTTTCTGAAAAAAGTCAAGACAATACCTGAACGATATCTTGCTGCCATCTGCAAACAGGTAACAAGTGAACAATTTGCGTTCCTCAAAGAGAAGACTTTGCTCTAGTTCTAATCTTATCAAACCTTGCTCCTTCACCAATTAGGTTCTCAAAGGCTTGTGGTATCTTCATCATGAGAAACATATTATTCACAGGGATTTGAAACCTTCGAATTTGCTAATCAATCACATAGGTGATGTCAAAATCACTGACTTTGGTGTGAGTGCAGTGCTGGCAAGCACATCTGGACTTGCTAATACCTTTGTCGGCACTTACAACTATATGTCTGTGAGTATCTGTGACTTTGTTTTTCTAAAACCGAGTATAGTACTAAACCACCTATGTGTAGTACAATCTGCCTATGCTAAAAACCAAGTTACTGATGTTCTGTTGTGTGCTACAGCCGGAGAGAATTTTAGGAGGCGCCTATGGTTACAGAAGCGACATTTGGAGCTTGGGTTTAGTTTTACTAGAGTGTGCAACAGGTGTTTTCCCATATTCACCGCCCCAAGCAGATGAAGGATGGGTTAATGTCTATGAACTTATGGAAACTATAGTTGACCAACCAGCACCAAGTGCACCTCCCGACCAATTTTCTCCACAATTCTGCTCATTCATATCTGCGTGGTAAGTACCATAATTTCAGATTTAACTTGCTTCCAAATCTTAAAATCGTCATAAGTTTTGAGCTGACTATGTAGTTATGTTACCAACTGTTCTTTGAAAGCTCATTACGCAGTAACTTGTTTCAGCGTGCAGAAGGACCAGAAGGACAGATTGTCAGCAAATGAACTCATGGTAGAGATTGTTACTTTTGTCTTTCTCGAAGTCTTATTTTCAATTACTAATTCAGTGACTGTTTGGAATTCATGAAATCCAGAGGCACCCTTTCATCACCATGTACGATGACCTGGATATTGACCTTGGATCTTACTTCACATCGGCAGGACCTCCATTGGCAACACTCACTGAGTTATAATTGGTATGTTTGCCTTAGTCTTTGTTGATTCATTTTCATGGCCTCGATAGTTTACTCCTGTCGTAGCTTTTACAGAAGAAATTGATTTAAGATAAGAACTTCTTGTGTCCATTATATGTATATTATATATTTGAGGGTCTTTTTGCAAATTTTCTTTTCGCTTTGTCCCTTCTTTCATCATCTTGGAACAGAGCCACTAGCATTCGGTAATTGGATACATGCTCTTTTTCTCTTTCTTTTGTTCTCAGATATCCAGTATCTTAGGATTATTTTGGTCGTGGAGACCTTGCTTCTCTTTTAAACTCACTCAACCCTCTTTGCTAGCTCCATTTTTCTTGTATGAGCAAGCTTGTTTATGTGTAGTCGATTCACTTTTATTTTACGTACACATTTGCGTGTAGTTTGAAGAATACTATGTTGTTTATTTTCCTAATATCATGTACTCCCTCTATTCCAGTTTATGTGAACCTATTTCCTTTTTGATCCGTTCCAAAAAGAATGACTCCTTTCTAAATTTGGTAATAATTTAGCTTAAACTTACAATTCTACCCTTAATGAGAAGCTTTTATAACCACACAAATACTCTGGCTCCTTTTTGACTTATTTTGGACCACAAATTCCAAAAGTCTTCATTTTTTCTTAAACTACGTGCCCAGTCAAATAGGTTCACATAAATTGGAACTAATATCTGTGCTCTGGGTAGTTTTCAAATTGTTAATAGCTGATTTGGAGATATGTCTGTATTAACAAATCAAATTTAAAGTTGCTTTCTACCTGTGCTACATCATCTGGGTTTTGGATGCAAGTGTTTAATCCTACTACCTTTTCAAAAACTTATAGTTATGTTCTATCCTTACTGGATTTACGAAAGTCGTGGTTAACCGTTTGCATGTCTGGAACATGGATAAGGATTGTGATGCCGAAGAAATCAATACAATTGATAAATCACCACTTATATTCCTTATAAAAAAATCACCCTCGACGATCAAAAAAGAAAAGAATCAGCCTCTCGGATTCATCTCAAGAGCCTCGTCGAGCTGTATCAATGATCTATTCAAAATAGTAAGCCTTGCATATAACTAAGTAATACTATACGTGATAGTTTATGGACAGAAGCGAAAAGAAAAGGGAACTGTATCGAAGCCATGATGTCCAAGTTACTACTGCATTTCTGTTTTCTTTCTATAGCTTTCCTTGATTTGTAGAATTGACATTTTCAGTCTGCTATTTTGGTTATTTTTTTCTTGAGGTGTTTTGGCGCAAGTATAAATTTGTTTTCATCGAACACATTGTTGGAAATGAATTCATCCCAATACTATGTATACCAGCATGAAAGAGCAAAAATGTGTAGAAGGAAAGAATTAGAAATGAAATCTTAAAATCCCTCTCCCAGAAATTAGTGTTTTTACTACTTGAAGATTAAATGTGAAGCTGTTTCATAGTTCGCAAGTTTGGTATAGCATCTCATCATTCTCTCGATAAACTGCATATTGTTGCTCGGACAAACTTCTTGCTTATATCTGACTTTTGACAGCATTTATCATAAAAGTAAATGGTCATTTTTTAATTTTCAATTTTTGTTTTTTGTTTTTTTTCTCCCTCTGCTAGATGTTCTGTTCCTGCTCAGGTCTTGCTTTTAAGTTGATCGTCCTGGTCTGTTTGTTGTACTTGTGCTCGAATTTTGATTGTTCATTTCACTTAAATATGTTTTAAGTCTTTCTGCGATTATACTGTCATGAGCCTTGTAATGTATGTGTAGTTCCTTTCACCAACTCTCGTTTCAAGAAAATCAGATGATGTTTCTGATATAGCAATTATATCCTACTGCCCAAAAGCATGGGTTCTAGGTTTGCCATTCTTGAAATTGATTCTGACTTCTTATTCTCGCAGGTTTTCTACAATGACTTGCAAGTTATGTTCTGCAACCAGAATTTCGGCCAAGTAGCTTTTCCAGTTGTGACGTTCCAAAAATTAAAAGCCTTTTAAGAAGGCATTGAGAATCAAAGGAGATGCAGACATCATTGTACTTTTCAAGTCTTCTGTAGGTAGAATTTGGAGTGTAACTGTGACATTTTCTATTATATTTGTGTTTCCTCAGGAACAACCCTAGATATCCTTTTGATAGGAGTCCATTTTTTAGAATAATCATTGGTGCAATTACAATTTGATCTCAACCTTTTGGCACATAAAGTAGTTTATCGTCAGTTTTGAATTGGATGTAAAATGATTGAGCTCCCATTTCTCCTTGGAATCAACTGAGAGACTTTTCAGTGGATGAACTTTCTTTCTCTAGATTTTAGTTTTCAGTGGCAAATTACTAGAAATTCAGGCCTAAATTTGGATTCACCAACCTATTGAAAATCAGTGTATTACCAAAACTAGGCAGGACAAGTTGGACTATAATTCACTCCTCTATCCTCTTGATCCAATCAAACTATTTGATCAGGGTCCATTCATTGATCCAACCCGTATCCAACTCGCTCATTTGATACCTCTAGTTGCTAGAAAAATAAAATAACTGATTTATTTGCTTGCATAGTTTTATGATTTCATAATCCATAGGAGTAGCGGAAAGGGAGCTTTGAAGTATTGGTAAAGTTGTTTTAGTGTGGTCACGCGTTAGAGTCGTGTTATTAGCAACTGATGTTTGTATCAGGGTAGAATGTCTACATCACACCCCATTGGGGTGCGGCTCTTCCCTGGATCCTGCATAAACACGGGATGCTTCGTGCATTTTTTATCCATAGGAGTAGCACCCAAGTTTGTTTTCCTATCACCCCTAAGGCCCTAATCAACATACTTCGTATGCGCAAGACAAGAAATAAGGTAATGCAAGAGAGTGAAAGAAAGAGCAAAAAAAAAAAACACATCATGTACCAAGAAAATAGACTGGGATATTTGTTCAACTGGTTAAGAAGGAAGCAAACTAATTGATTTCCCAGTTTTCTTGGTACAAGCTGTTTGAATCTACAAAATCTGGGAATAAGAACTGAAAAGGAGACTCTAGACAGATACAATTAAGACCATCTCTTAATGTTTGTATACACAACTTTCAAGTTTGAAAAAACTCCTATTGGTAGCTGCCAAGAAACCTACCCAGAGGTCCTATATATTGTTACTTTTACAGTTAAATGTTGTACATGGTCATCTATGGGGGAAGAGGTCAGAACTTGAATTGGAAGACTCAATGTATTACCTCCAGAAACCATAAAATGGCATGTTGATCAGTCAGTTTTATCGTGTTCATGACAGAGTTACAGTATCCATTGATGCAGAATGGACAAGTATTTCTTTGTCATCAATTGAGCGCATGCCTGAGAAATCTGCTGCAGAATCACCTACAAAAACATACTGACAGTCAATTTACATATATACTTCTAAAAAAGGGGCAATCCGGTGCACGAAGCATCTCGCGTTTATGCAAGGTCCGGGGAAGGGTCGCACCCCAAGGTGTGATGTAGGCAGCCTACCTTGATGCAAGCATCAGTGGCTGATTCCACGGCTCGAACCCGTGACCTATGGGTCACATGGAGACAACTTTACCATCGCTCCAAGACTCCCCTTCTTACATATATACTTCTATTTATGAAATTTGTTAAGCCAAACTCTCTTATGATGTCAGTACAGTATAGGATCTAACTTTCTTACAATCTAATGATAAGTTGCAAAAGCAAATATAGTTTTCCTCAAGCATGTAATATGAGAATGTTTATTTGATATAATTNAATGGTTCCATAAGGAGTATTAGAACACTCAAAGTTGACTATTGTGCTTTCATGACTCTAGGTGAATTACCAAGTAAACTCAGTTACCCTATAATGAAAAGAATAGCATTTCAGCACTGAATTACTACTGAGGGCTCCAAACAATTTAAACCATAGACAGCTCATTCATAAAACCAGCACATACATAATATATAATGAAAGGTAAATAATCAGCAAGATACTGAAGTTTTCCAAATCCAGGAAGTTGATAAAATGTCAAGTTGAGTGCATGACCAACCATCTAAGAAATTAAGATGCTACGCATAAATCTAACAGATGCCATAACTCAGTAAATGCTTTATTCATGTCATATACCTACTTGTAACTTAAGTCCAATGAGAGCATTAAGACATACATCAACACAAGTGAGCATTATACATTATTACCAGTCAAATTGTAGGTCATGCTGTCTTAATGATATAGAAGTTCAGAATTCATTCAAGCACACATACAGGCCACGGCATACATAAGTATTAGTAGTGACTTAATAGATGATAGAGCATGCAGCATGAGCTCCCTTCGAAAAGAATATGACAGAACTATTATCGTCTGAGAGTATATCGAAGTCACCATACCTGAAGAATGTCTTAATCCCTTGACAGCCTCAAAATTCTTGTAGGTATAGCCAACAAAACTTAAATCTTCGGGAATCAGACGCTTCTGCCAAAATAAATATTAGAATTGAAAAGATTTACTTAAGCATGGCATGGGAAGAAAAGTTTTTCTGGAAAGGAGACATAGAAAAGTAAGCAAGAGAAGAAAATGCCAAAAATGATAATAGCAAGGCGCACAGGAAAACTTGATTACATTCAGTATGGAATGTAAAAGATTTATCTTCATGAACGGAAGCTAGTGCCCGGGGAGCTGGTAAGTAGAACCATAGCTAAATGTAGTGTACATCAGTCGCGAAAGAAAACTCACCTTTCTATGGGGTCCTGAACTAATTTTGGCTGGTGGCTGATTTGCCTGCATAGGAGTTGCAATTGTACATCAGTTGCGAAAGAATTCTTAACTCAACATTGTTAACAACAGTTAAACATGAATCTCAATTATATACCAATGAAATAAAAGATGTTAATTATCAGTTTTATCCAGAAAATGGTCCCGTTCTTTTGGGATTTAAGTAAGGAAGTGCTGGTAACATGTTCCAGTAGAGATGAATATTAGGTACCAAAATAACAAATAGGTACCTTTGTTATAGAAGGATGTTCTTTTCTCTAATGTACTCCTTTTGGTACCTTCTTGGTACTTATTAATAAAAATCTTTACCTTTTTGTCAAAAAAATCAGTCATAAGATCACCAAGGTAAATTTTTAATCACAGCATACCAACAAAGGTAGCTTGTGTAGCAGTGAACCATGGTGATGTACTGCCACGATTAAGTTTCAAAGACGAAATATTACTTCTCACAAACTTTCTCTAAAATTTGAGGGAAAAAACAGAAATAGAATTAAGATATAAAATGGTAATTCACCTCATCAAACTTCATGAAATTTTGAGTGTCAAGATCATCATTGACTTCTGGCTTATATGCTGCCTCCATATCATAAAGTTTATCCCACTTTATGTCTTTGAACCAGGGATGAGCCTGATTTTTATGAATAAAACATAAGAATCTATAATTGATTGTTAGTAATACTTTCTTTGTAACAACAAACCTTTATTTGCTCTGCTCCTCGACAACCAAGGCGATTTTCAGCATCACTAAGCAATCTACAGATCAGGTCTTTGGCTTCAGGACTCAATCTTGTTTCCTCTGGGAATTTTAAGTGATTTCTCCAATGAACAATCTATTGAACCAGAACAAGTGTCAAGGCATAGAATTTAGTCATTCTACATAAGATCCTAACTGAAGTACCATTAGATTGGACAGGTTGTACTAGTATTCCAAAATATTCACAAGATAATTTTATTGCTAACGGAAAACAAAGGATAAAGGGATAATCCGAATGTCATTATCAACATTGAACAGGAGAAAGTTTACAATTTCTAGAGTCAATGCTGCTTAAGGAAATGGACAAACATTTCAAGTGTGGACCACTATACCTTTCTACATGTTGTTATTGGATCTTCAGAGTAGAAAGGGGGATAACCAACGAGCATCTCATACATGATGGCGCCAAGTGACCACCTGAACGAAGCAAGAAGTAAAGAGGATAACGAATTAAGTCTACTAAATTTACTTTGTCTATTCAAGATATGATCATACCTAAAAGAGAATGCATAATTGAAACATGCGTGCTATGTTTAGCAACAAGTACACAGTCACCATCTAGTTTAAATCCATGTCAATCTCAAACAGTAATAGAACTCACCAATCACATTCTACTCCATAGCCTTTCTTCAGTAAAACCTCAGGAGCAATATAGTCAGGAGTGCCCACTGTTGAAAATGCCTGCCATAGAAACGGATAATATTACAGGTTCTGGTAACTAATTTGTTTTAGACACAGAGATATTTTCATGGAAGGTAGTAACAAAGGTCACTTCTTGGAATAGTAAATGATATTTTCTAGTTCGTTTCCATTACTGATATTGAAGAATGTGCCAGGCATGAGCAAATAAAACACATACTGGTCGTCACTTTGTGCAAGAAAAATAATAGCTGTGTTTCTGTTAATAATGTGCTACTTACTAATTTTCTCCTGTTTATTTGCCAATGCTGCAGTTGTTCGAGGGAGCTATTCCAACAGCTTCCAGTTCCCTTGTTAGCAGATCCCCGTGTGTTCTCATCATCCATCACTTCATTTTCATTTATAGGAGATAAATTCGAACAGTCAAGCGGCTTGCATAGACCAAAATCAGACAGTCTCATGTGGCCATTTTTGTCCAAAAGAAGATTATCAGGTTTAATATCCCTGCAAAAAAGAACGTTACGTAAAGACATAAACTATTATTGTTTAGCAAGTAGATTAACTACCTGTGAATGTAATTGTGCTTATGAATAGACTCTATGGCCAGAACACTTTGAGCAATGTAAAATCTTGCGACTGTCTCAGTTAATGTCTCCTCCCTCATCAGCAACGTCATCAAATCACCACCGGACAAATATTCCATTACTAGATACAAGTAATCAGCATCTTGGAAAGAATAATAAAGCTTTACAATAAAGTGGCTTGCTACCTCAGCAAGCAAATTCCTTTCGGCCCGAACATGTTCAACCTGTAATGTAAAGAGATGGTAAGAAAAACAGGTCACTTCTAAAAAAAATGCTGCATTTCCTTGCATATCTTTGATAGAAGAAGCAGAGCAAAGGACTAGGAATAAAATCTTATTTAACAAATAAGATGGATAGCAATTAAACCCTTAAGCATGTTAAGAAGGATTTGATCTCACCTGCCCCCTACTTAGCATTTCAGACTTCTTCAACTTTTTCATTGCATATATATTACCAGATATTTTATCCCGGCACAACCTGACCTGCAAAAATAGATTTGCATAAGAATCAGCAACTCATTATCAGGAGCCAATGCTGGTAAACAGGAAACACATTTCGTGTAACCAGGAGGCTACGGA